ATAACTGATAATAAAACTACGTAATATGGTGTTGAACATGCGTGCTCGCAAGTCATAGCAATAGCAGCCTCGACGCCCGGCGTTGCAGTCTCCACGCCGTGCGGCGTGGGCCTTGTCGGTCTAACATTAAGCAATGGTCAATGAACCAACGGAAAAGATGACGCATCTTAAGAGAGATGACTGGTGACTATGTAAATCGGTATGCACGTTTAATGCAGTGCAAAAGTAAGCCAAATCCAGCCTTAATCTGAAAAGTGTGTAGTGGGGGGAGGGGGGAGGGCAGTTAACATTGCTGCCCCCCCCCCCCACCTTGAAAAGCGGGGGCAGGGGCCTTGGCCCGCTTGGCCCCCCTGGTCCTACGCCCATGCGCTGTTCCTTTAAATGCATTTTGCAAGCAGTTTAAATGCTCACCTCAAACCTTCAAAGTTCGCATTTTTTCAAACAGGAAAAAAACGCTTTTAGAAGATTGAACTAAGGTTAGGTAAAACGATGTTGGGATATTAACGTGCACTGACGATAGTTTTTGTGGTATTTTAGATAATTAGTTAAAGAAATCCACTTCAATTTGTGTCAGAGTGCGCCCCCGGCCGCCTCTCCATTACGTCTCTGGCTCCCATTGCCTAGACCAACGGTTTGAAACATTAGTCCTGCTCTAGGTCACCACGCACCATGCCGTAGTTACCATGGTCACGTCCTGGCCTAAGGCCGCCATGTTCTGGGGAGGATGGGCAATGGATCATGCCACTTTGGCTGGTGAAAGTGATCAGTAGTCGGTCGCCTAGGCTCGGAGCATGAGTTTGCCTGCAAACTGATTTTGTCAGCCTCAGATGTTTTGGGCAGGGACACACACATATCGTCGCCCTGGGAGCACATGTTTCTGCACCAAATTTCTGACAAGCACGTGACTAAACGTGTGCATAAATTCCACGTAGATGCGTAAAAATTTGATAAAATATGTACAGTGTTGTTTTATTACGCGACGGAAATTGCGCGACCCTGCGGCTCGATGAATCCGGTTTTCGATGCAATTGTTGAGTTGTACCCCTTCTCCATTGTAAAATTCTACATAGCGCACCCTTCTGTATTGGGGTGACCCTTGAACTGACCCAAGATAATGATGTCCTGAACAAACATATTGTCAGCCACAGGGTGCGGGGTCCTCGTCAAGACTTAGCCCGCGCAGCGACTCCTGCACGGGGCACGTCCTCGGCACTCGGACGGGACCCGGACGGGACCCCACCAGGGGCTTAACATGCACTCTTGGCTAGTATCTTTAGTCTGGCCCTAATAAACAGGGCGTGGCGAGGGTGGAAGATGAAGCGAGGACGAGGAAAGAAGGACAGATGTGGTGACAGCTTGGTTCTGTTGTTTGGTTGTTTGGATTAAAGCCGTTTTGACCAGCCGTGACCATTTCAGGGCTATGGGATGAAGCAGAGTGGATAACGACGGGGCAGAGCCACACGTAACGGCATTGATCCGCCGGGCACAAGCACGCACAGAGACCTCGATGCGTGGTATGTGCTGCAACGCCCCGTCCGAACGGTGCGTCAGGACGCCGGGGCGCCCACCAGAGGGCGCCCACTGAGGGCTGGTGCCTGTAGCCCGCCCAGGATGAACGAGCTGTCACCGGGGTCAGGACGACGGGGCTTCCACCAGCGGGCGCCCACTGAGGGCTGGTGCCTGTAGCCCGCCCAGGATGAACGAGCTGTCACCGGGGTCAGGACGACGGGGCTTCCACCAGCGGGCGCCCACTGAGGGCTGGTGCCTGTAGCCTGCCCAGGATGAACGAGCTGTCACCGGGATACGGGATTAGGTAGTAAGGAGGACAACGGGGCGGATGATGAGGATTTTGTGGCGACTCAACCCGTAAACTCGCGGATATGGGGCTGTCAGCAAGTTTGGTCGGATGATGGGCACCAGAATTTCTCCCAGGTTTAGTGGACAGCAATAGTCTTGCCTATCTTTGTCCAGTCAACGTCCACGGCACCACAGTCGAATTTTCAAGGAGTTGGGGGCGGGAGGGGGGTTCATTCCCTTGAACACGCCGTTTCCCATGCCCGTGGTCGGTCGTTTACTCCCTGTCCTTTCCTCTGCCGCCGCTGAATTGTGAACGCCATCTATAGCAATAACGCCACAAGTGCAGCTTGACTATAAAGCCGGTAGGTGGTAATGCGCACTCATACGCCAGCCAGACGTTTGACGACACGATTTCTACCAACGTCGCCTGCCAGCTTGTGAACAGCCGATTGCCCATCTAAATGCCTGATCCAGACTCAAATAACACTTAGCATGGCATATGATTTGACATCTCATGAAATAAGGTGTGGCACGACGCAATACCTTATGATGCTATGATGTAACAGGAGCATGGTGCACTGAAAACGATTATACCCAATCCAAGCAGGCAATGAGCTACGACCATTTAGCGTAGGTAAGTAAGGGATCATTGTCAGTAATGCATCACACTACTACGATTAATGCCACTTACTTTTCGGTGCAAAATTTAGTCGGGGATATGAAGCCTGGTAGCTTCCGTTTTATGCTTGCACGGGTTTTTGACCAGTAGGCCCAAAGGTTGATCTTTGGTTGATAAGGAACGAAACACCTTATCGTTTATTAGCTTCATCTAGCAAAAAGGCCAGTTTTATTCTACAGAACACAAATAAGCATGAATATATCAGCCTAGTAGCATGAGTAAAAAACCAATTATCCACTAATGCCTGATTCGTGGCAAATGTTCGCTGATCGCGTTGGACCCTGATCACTTCTAAAAACCTCCACCATGGTCATAATGCAGTTGGATCGGATCCTGACCTCTTCTATTAACTAGTGCCTTCAATACATTCGATTCGGTAATGCTCGTCGAAATATTGAAACAAGGGTGGGTGGCCATTCCCACTCGCATCAAGTGTTGACTTAACCTAGGATGAGCCCGGCCTGCAGCCGAAGTGATGTGATTCCCGACAGACACACGGGATGGGTGCCAGTGAAAAGACTGCGCGTGGGACGCTAAAAGACCAGAGGAAGGGGCAAATACAGCGATCAGCGTCGTCGAACAATCTGATCTCACATCAGATCGTTTGCCGTGGAATGCCGGGTGTCGTGATCCGAGCGCGTCGGATGTGTGACGTCACGTAACAGCAGTCAGTGACCAAGCCCGCTTCTCCACCGCGGTCGGGCGCCGACGTCGGATGAGTGACGTGACGTTAGACTAGTCAGTGACCAAGCCCACCTCTCCACCGCGGCCGGGCGCCGACATCGGATGTGTGACGTCACGTAACAGCAGTCAGTGACCAAGCCCGCTTCTCCACCGCGGTCGGGCGCTGACGCCGGATGAGTGACGTGACGTTAGACTAGTCAGTGACCAAGCCCACCTCTCCACCGCGGCCGGGCGCCGACATCGGATGTATGACGTCATGTTGCAGCAGTCAGTGACCAGGCCCGCCTCGTCGCCGGCGGAGCGAACTTGCCGGCTTCGCCTCAGGGGTCGGGCCTGCAAGTGCAACATCACGGATCTCTGATGGGACTCCCACCTCACGGGACAGACCGGCTGAGGCTTTGTCCGGCATCGTTCGAGTTATAACAGCAAGAGAACTAATGCACCAGGCTGATTCATTACTGGAGATTCGCGCATGGGAACCGACACAAGACCGGATGCTGGTAATCGCGCCTTACGGACAGAACGTGAGCGTAGAAATTCGCGACACAGAGAAGAGTCACGCCAGCAAGCACTTTGCAGCTGTGTTCTGGAACAAATGACAAGGCTGACAAAGCGCAAGAAGATAGACAATGCATTGTCCACATGACACTCGCCGGTTTATCAACGCTTGCGAGCGTGCAGCATTACCTGCCCGTGACACGCAATGCATCCGGTAAAATAAACACCTTGACAACTCCCAACATCGCTGCGAATGGTAAAGGGAGTGTTTCACATTTGAAAGTGGTTTTGAACTGAAATAGCCACTTTAAAGATAATTCAGCCCAGTTCACAGTCCCATCCTTACTAAGGCCTCAACCCGTCTAGTTTTTTAGCTGCACGCCCGCAAATATGAGCAGTCTATTTCGGGAAGGCCGTTTCAAGGACACCCAGACATCCATGACGTCGTTAAAACGGCATTAAAATCCTGCCATTTCATTTGCCTAGCGACCATCAAGGCCAAGAAGAATATGATTGTCGAGTCGTTTATATGGCGTTCGTGAATACGATCTCCAGATATAATGGCCGTCAGTTAGCTATTAATCGATGTTGTTCAAGGTACGATGACATAATCAAACAATTACGTATTCAGGAGCGAAATACTAAACGGAGGACATTGTGTTGTCTACAGCACTTATTCCACACTTAAAAGAATACCAATAGCTATGAGAAAGGTAATTTCATCATATTGGATGCATGTTTTGATATCTTCAAATGTGAAAAATTCCCTTCAACGTGCCGCAGCGATGGAGTAGCGGTGCCAAAGTGAAGGTGCCAGACCGGCCAAAGTGCAGGTGCCAGACCAAGCGTACCTCCCGCCAGGGCCTTGGCATCGGTCCGAGTAGCGACTAGCAACACCTCGGCCCCAAGTTGCTGTCTTATTAGGGCTGCCGTGTCCCGTTGCGCCCCACTTGTGATGACGTGATTGAGTGTGATGTGATGTGACGGACCCCGGATGATGATGTGACGGATGTGATGGACCCCCACAGTGATGAAGGGGGTCCTGAGTGCTGAGGTGGCCGCCTCGCGGGTCAGTCGTGGCGTCCACAAACACTTACCTTTGACCCGGATTTGCCAACCTGTGAGTGCCCATGTCAACTCCGCACGCGGATAACCGGCTGGTCAGGCGCCGTCCTTGTACGGCACTGGCCAGAAGCCAAGCGGGTCAGGCGACGGGTGTCGAGGGGACCCGCCAGATGCAGTGTCTGCCTGATGTCTCAGCTGCGGGGTCGTGCCTTGGCTCACTCTGTGGAGGTGCCCGGTCAGCCCCTCGTGAGTCAGGGTACAGCTCCCGCAGACAGACAGGGTACAGCTCCCGCAGACTCTCAGGGTACAGCTCCCGCAGACTCTCAGGGTACAGCTCCCGCAGACAGTCAGGGTACAGCTCCCGCAGACTCTCAGGGTACAGCTCCCGCAGACAGTCAGGGTACAGCTCCCGCAGACTCTCAGGGTACAGCTCCCGCAGACAGTCAGGGTACAGCTCCCGCAGACTCTCAGGGTACAGCCCCCGCAGACAGTCGGGGTACAGCTCCCGCAGACTCTCAGGGTACAGCTCCCGCAGACTCTCAGGGTACAGCTCCCGCAGACTCTCAGGGTACAGCCCCCGCAGACAGTCGGGGTACAGCTCCCGCAGACAGTCAGGGTACACCTCCCGCAGACAGACAGGGTACAGCTCCCGCAGACTCTCAGGGTACAGCTCCCGCAGACTCGTATTCGGGCGCTCCGCAGCGGCACTTTTGACGCCCTGTGCCGTGTATGACGCGCCTGTAGCCCTGGCACCACAACAATGCCCACTGTGCCGTCAGACCACCTCAGCATATGGTCATCCGCTCATTGAGCCTTGAGAAGGGGAAAGTCTTTGCCGTTGAAACTCAAACCGCTCCAGATTGAGCAGGCTCTCTTCGAGGTTGGAAGCCCTAAGAAAATGTTTAGGCATCGAGATGGAGGTTTATAAGTACAGTTTACGAAGGAAAATGATATCAGGGGGATGCTAAGTGCCAAAGAACTTCATTTTCGAGTTCACGGACATGACTTCCAGTTCGTGCCGGTAGACGTCAAACCACACCAGCGGAAAATCTCTACGCAAAGGTTCATTGGCTGCTGGGACCTTAGGGGCCTCAGAAAGAAAGAAATTGTCGGCAGCATGACCAGAAAGGGGGTGACGAGCGTCAAAAACCTTTTTGAAAGGGGTAGGTGGTGAGTTGGTGCACACGGACGCCAGCGTCCTTACCTTAACAGTGCTTTGCTACCAGAGAGGGTGCGAACAGGCTTTACCTATCTCGCAGTCCGCTTCTACATACCAGATCCGGTGGGATGTTTCAAATGCAAATCGTTTGGGCATTTTGCCGACGAATGCCGGAGACATTTAGAGCGTGGGAAGTGCGCAGTAGTTAGGACAAACGCTAAGAGAGAAAGAGAAAACGCTGGGAGTCCGTTGTCAAAAAGTGTACTAGCTGTGGAGGGGCCATTCATCTTGGTTTTGCTCACGTAGTTCCTTGAAAAGAGAAAAGGAAATTCTGACTATAAAGGTCGAAAGTGACTCTCCTTGCCGTGAGACGAAAGAGAAGTACAACGAAAACCGCCCAGATGAGACAGAGGTAGTGACCATATTCCTTGTACAAAAATCATTACAATGGAGATATAGATGCGTTGATATTTCGGCAACATTCCTGTATGGAAAAGGAATAGTAAATACTTCTGCTATTCGTTTCGATAAAGGCATGTTGCCGAAGTATTAACGCATCTATCTCTCCATTCTCCTTTTTTTCTCCGAGAAATAAGGCTATTATTGCTGTCTTATCTATGTACGTAATGTTCCCCACAAACGCGCTTAACGACTTAAGTAATATTGAAAGCCACGCAGTCCGCTCTTGCCGGGATGCGGCCGCTGCCCAGCTGAACACCCATTCATTGGAGGCACCGACACCTGCCGGCCTGCCAACAAATACAAATCATGAGCGCGTTCCGAAGTAATGACTGTGGGGCCTTGCTTCCCCTACAGCAGCTGTTCCGTCCCTCGGGTGTGTCTCCGTCCCGTCCAGACACGACATATGCGTTTTCTGCCGCGCGTGCCGATGCGGCGCCTTCGCCATCGGGCGCGATCCTAGCTCCTGAGGCGACCCTCCCTGATGCCTCCCGGGAGCAGCCGCGGAGCGCTGGGGCCCCGAAAGAGCATCAGTACGTTCGGAAACGGAATCCAGACCGGGAGGGGCGAGCTGGGCACGAGTCCAGCGCGGGTGGGCTTCGCGCCCGTCCTCAGGGCGGCCGGTGTCGGTTGCGCCTAAGGACGCGATGGTCAGGCGGCCGCCCCTGTTGCCCCGGCGGATGGCTGCTGACTATGACTATAATATTTTGGCGCTGGCCGCCATAGACTGCGGCCGGCAACGGTGAGAACGGAAAAGGTCACGTGACGTCAGTGTGTTCTACCCCCAGAGTGCGACGGGTAATGATAAGTGTTTCGACACGTTAAGCTTTTCCCTTCAAATTTTACCTGTGATCCGGAATTTTACAATCGATGGTGGTGTCAGGATTCATGCAACAAGCGCCACTTCACGGGGGTGGTGACCTCAAAATGCATCCAAAAATCTGTTAGGGTTAGTTTTTTTTATTGCAAAAAACGAGATGCCGTGCCCGATTCTTTCCTTTGTATTTCGTGTGCCCAACCGAATTAAGACCAGATGGCGATATATGCCTACCACCCACTTGTGTAGCATGCGAAGCAGAATCGACCGCACTGCGCGATTTTCCGCCCATCCTTGATTCAGGTCAAGCTCACTACATCGCCGTCGAACGCAATGGCCGTCCGTAACTCAGGTCCATGCCTCTCACCCGTCTGCTGCCGAGGGTGTACGGCTGGATCAGGACGCACACCCACACAGCAGCCTTCTGTCCTGTTACAGGTTGAGGCTCTGGAATTGCCACTCGGCGAAATAAGGCGCGCTGGAGCGCAAGGAGACTCTTATTTTTGCTATAATTGTACTTAGGGCCATAGCATTAGCATTGAAAAACGTAAAACATTTTTTTTGTAGATGGAGCGGGTTTATTCCAGTGTGAAATACAGGTTTAAGATTACTCTGACTGCTTTAGATTTTGATTGGAAACTGAAACGGACGGTGAAACTTCCCAAATTCGCACTTTCACCGCTCACATTAATGAGGGGGGGGGGGGAAGGAAGGCAATTACATCTTTCGTAAGATTGTACCGAATACCTACCTGGCAAGTCATGTGATACATACCAAATTCTCGGTAGCATCTGGGACATTCGTTGGGCGTGTCTTGGTACCAAGCACGTTTCTCTAGCGTTCTTAGTGCGTAAAAAGCAGCGTCTGAAAAGCACAGCATGGCAGCCTACCTATTACCTGTGATAGCAGAGGGCGTCTACCAAGGAATGCGTCGATCAGCGGGCGGCGGGGACGGCACTGGGAACTATTTACGGAAGCCTTCATCTTCATTTTGTATCAAGACGCACAAAAATCACACCAACACACTCAAAACTAGACACGGAACACGCATGCCATGTGCTATGTCTCTACGTTGCATCGTTTTGTAAGCATTGACGTGCAAACTGAACTAGGTGGAAGTTTCAGGAAAAGTTGATCGTTGACCCGGCCTGGCGGGGTCTCTTACAGACTTAGCAACGCTAGCCTTGTACCCAGTGACGAGATCTCACTGAGGCCAAGCGACCGTTCTCTCGCGAGCTTTATCAGCTTTAGCTTGGAAAGTTCACAGAGAACTAAGTCGCAACGATCTCCTATCCGTTCGCGCACAGGAAAAGAAACGATGAATTCAGACGAATGGAAAATCTTTATATTTGCAGAGCATTTGTGTGATGACTTGTAGTGTCATTGCACTTGGTTTTTTTGCGGTTTAAGATCTGAGCCTAAACTTGCCAATAATTGGATGTTATTTTTCGGCATTGGCAATTTGCAGAGGGTGTCAGACAAAAACCAGACAACGTGAATGCAGTAAGCTGATAGCCTTTCTTAGTGCTGGGGAGTTGTTGCCATTTAACGTGCCTTCAACAGAGATATCATCCAAGGAGAAGTGCTGCTGCGGGAGAAAGCTCTGCCGGAGAAAAACATTTTTAAGCAAAAGTTTTAAAAGATCAGATTTCCGGGGATCTAACAGATTGTCCCAGACCTAGCACATCAAAGCCAATGCTAAGTTCAAACCTCTGGCAGTCATTTAGACCATCTTGTGAAAAAGATGGACAAATCTGAGACATGTTGAATAGTTCAAACCTCTGGTAGCCATTTAGACCATCTTGTGAAAAAGATGGACAAATCTGAGACAGGTTGAATGGAGTGGCCTGAACGCAGTGGAACAAGGCAATGAGAGGGCACTTGCCTTCAGGAGCTGGACAGGACGATAGGATCTCACTGTCTGCCCCCACACCATCCACCTAAGCCAAGATCTAGAGCCTCAACAAGCTGCGTGACGCGCCAAGGCAGTCGTCATAACATATGGCATGTCCGCAATCACTTGAAAGCAAGTTCGTGGTGACTGGCTGAATTTTTAGGACAAAATGTCTTACGCAAGTGATGCATTGAAGTATACTTGTTGTCAGAGTAAATACACCACAAACTGATGACATATTTTTGGATTTTGGAAAGCGCGACAGCTTCCAATTAAATGAATGGAAAGGCAGTGGCGTTTATATCCAGTTGCACAAAGAACACCCGTATCGGTCTGGGCACATGATTGGGGCCTTGTACGCTGTGCTCTAGTACATCGGTGTCCTCGTTCCCTCAATTTGTGGCATAATCTGTCCACACAACGCCTGCAGTACCAGCTCCTTCTTCCGCGTCACCATATAACACACTTTCAGGGCAACTCAACATAATCTACAGACTTTACACTGCCCTGTCCTAAACTTTTAAGACTCGCAACTCACAGCGTTCTTTTTTCGGCAGCCATCTTCGTGCTTTCAGTTGGTGAGCGTAAAGTGCGGCTGGCAACACGAAAAGCGAATCATTTAGGAAGGCAATAATAATATTGGGAAGCTGGCAAAAACGATAAACTAAGCTATGCAAAGTGTGCTGGAGCCATTTTCCGTATCGTCTACGGCGGGATGCACGTGGTCAGTCGTATATGCTCCGCCTGGTCTGAGACATGTGTGTCGCAATATTTTGCCGATCATCCATAATCACGTGTTTAATCGATTTCCCTTAAATGTATCTCCGTTGTTGAGAGATACGTACGTATCTGTATATTTACATACACCGTATGCTAGTACTATATCCGTCCGTAGCATGACCCAGCAATTATTTTCCTATTAAGAGCAATGACCCCGTGTCTGCTTATTCAGTACCATGGGCCATGCTTTGCATGTAATCCTTCTGTCATGTCACCGCGGATTAAACGTCAACAACTGTCCGAGTTTGATGTCCTGGGAACTACTCGAATCGGTCCTGGATCTCTCGCCCGTCAACAGCACGCTGATCCGGCACGCACGCCTTTCTCACAGCTCCTGACACGTTCCCGCCCATGGTTTTCACGGTGACCAGGGCCTGGGCTTCACGCGACTGACCAGGCGGTGACTCAGCCAGCGGTGCCGGACTTCACGGCGCTCTCCCATTGGTCACCACTCCGCGGGCACGGCCGGGCGGAAGACGCGGCCGACCTTCCTACGCCACCAGATTGAGCCAATAACCGGCCACTCCTGCTCGAACCAGTGATGCAAGTGGGATATGTAAATGCAAGCCAGTCGTGCCCATTCGGTGCACGTGGTCGGAAATTCCTACAGAGCGGGAAAATCCATTCGGTTTTTCACCTCTATCCCCCGCTTCGGACCCGACCTTTTAGCGGTGGCTGGTCCGCTGTTAATGATGTCTGGGCTAACGGTAGTGGCCATTCAACTCCTTGCAGATCTCTCTCTCTCTCTCTCTTCTTCTCTCTCTCTCTCTCTCTCTCTCTCTCTCTCTCTCTTCTCTCTCTCTCTCTCTCTTCTCTCTCTCTCTCTCTCTCTCTCTCTCTCTCTCTCCCTCTCTCTCTCTCTCTCTCTCTCTCTCTCTCTCTCTCTCTCTCTCTCTCTCTCTCTCTCTCTCTCTCTCTCTTTTTCTCTCTCCCTCTCTCTTTCTACCTGGTTAGTCGGTGTTACTGTTAACAAACCTCAGCCGCTGCTGCAACGCTGACGGTCATCGGTTGACTTCCTCCAGCCCCTGCATGGAGTTCGACGCTTCGGCTCCCCTGGCTGCCCGGCCATCAGTTCAGCAGCTGCCGGCCCAACAAGCGGACAGCTCGGCAGCTCGATCCCACTGGCTGCTCGGTCATCAGTTCACCAGTTACCGGCACACGAAGCAGGCGGTCGTTCACCAGCTCCAGTGTTTGCACATCAGCCACTAGTTCCACCGACCGACCACTGGCTCACCAGCTCCGCTGACTGAGAGTGGCTCACCAGCTGCGCCGACCGTTCTGGTCCGCCTGGCGCTAGCTGACCATCTCCAACGGCCTGTCGCCGGTTCACCGGCTCCACCAGCCGGTTCACGATTCACGAGCTCCAGTTTGCAGTGTCCAACTCCCCCCTTTGTCTGACCCGTCACCGACTGCCCAGGTTGGTCACCGGTCCGCTGGATTCGCTCTGCTGTTCACCGGTTCACCATGTTCACCGACCGGCCGCCGGTTCACCAGCTCCAGCCGCCGGTGAGCAGCGCGCGCCAGCCCCGCCCCACTTCGTAGTAGCGCGCGAGGTTATAACAGGGAGCGCAAGGCCGGCCGGCCGACACTCCGCGGCGTGTGGTTCCCGGGGCTAGGTCGGCCGGTGATCTGGGCAGCGAAGCAGCGCGATGGCAGGAATCAAGGTGAGATGTCACACACGACACAGAGCTCACACCGGCCCCGCTGCGAATGAAGGCCCCGCACAGCTGAATAAGTGCCTCTCATTTTTCGTGAGTTTGAGAACAGTTCAAACTGAAAATTTTGGTCGGCAATAAAAACCTCGCACAAATGTATTGTTGATCTAATGTGAATCACTTTTAAGGCAGGAATTGATATCATTTGAGTCTGACGAGATGCCTTCTGCATATTATGTAGGAATATTATTCGGGTCGTTGACCACTAAAAGTAAGATGGGAACACTTATTTGGATGCCGCGACTTATCCGTGGATCCTCGGCATCCTTTGATTCCCGTTGACTTAACAAATTTGCAATATTTCACGTCCGTAATGAATGGCTAAACTCTAAGGATGTGTGCGTTGAAGTAGCCTTGGTGGCCATACCGCACTTTGAGATATTGTAATTTTTATTTATTTATTAAATATTTATTATATTATATGATATATTTATTTTATTTACTTTTATTATATTATTATATTCGATATATTGTATTAGGTGTGGGGTACGCCAGCCGTTGGATCCCAGCCAGGCTCTTAGGTTCTTAACTTTCCGTCTCTAAAGGAAGTCTTTCACTCCTCCGAGAACGGCATGCAGCTGGTCCATAAGCATCCAGCTGCAATAAAGTCGCAGGAGCAATCCGCCCTCAAGGCTACAGGATTATGCGCAAGGTCCACGAATGGGCTGATACGGTGACCCCTGCCACTGCCGACGAGGACGCATCTCCAGCGCCGGACCTGCACCCTGGCTGAGAAGTTCCTTCACAAGCTGCGTCTAGGCCACACTGGTCCTTCACAAGCTGCGTCTAGGCCACACTGGTCCTTCACAAGCTGCGTCTAGGCCACACTGGTCCCTCACAAGCTGCGTCTAGGCCACACTGGTCCTTCACAAGCTGCGTCTAGGCCACACTGGTCCTTTGCAAGCTGCGCCTAGGCCACACTGGTCCTTCACAAGCTGCGTCTAGGCCACACTGGTCCTTTGCAAGCGGCGTGTCCAGTGCTTGTAGACTCGACTATCTTGGGGTCATGACCGGTCAAACCAGTTCTGTAGTGCACGAACTGACGGAGAAAGTGTTGGCGCTAAGAAGGCCAGCTTTATCTCATGGGTGAGCCGTGACATCGGAGGCCCAGCATGATATTGCTCATCCTTATGCGCCGACAGGTAACTTACGCGCAGATCCTTGGAAAGCCAGCGACGCCTAGCCGTAAGCTGTGCCGCATTTCGACTCTTATGATGTGAAGATCGGCCCTATATAGCTACCCAAGCATAGATCTGTTTGAATGCAATTGGCTCCGGCATGTTCCCCGAAATAGTGACTTGAACAAATTGTAAGTAGTTTTTGTTCACGCTGTGCTAATTTTTCAACGTTGGTCTTCATAGAAAACAAATAGAAATGAGCGCCACGTGATCGTAATGCTATCATGGCGGTGGTTTAATCAAAAACGTTATACGGAAGGCGAGTAGCTCATGTGGCAACGTTCAAGCGGACTTTGTGGAGGCGACTGACGGGAGTTTAAAAGTTGTGTTTGATTTGAAAATTTAAAGCTCATCCTGGGAAAAATTTGCAAAGCCTTATGGCAAACCAACTCTTTTTAATTCAAAGTATTCAATACCGCATCATCTTTCGGAGTTCGACGAATGTTGCTAGTTTAAGAAAATCGGCATCTACTTCAACGAAATATCAAATCATGAGTGTCACTTTTGTTCTTGAGTTGTCTGCAAAAAGAACCTAACACATATTGCTCCAAACTACGTCTGCTTGCCATAGATACGAAAAAGTATGCGCAAGCAGACGAAAAAGCATGCCTGGGGTGGCTGGGAGGCTGATGAGGTTGTGGTTCATGTCATAAGTTGATGAGCGGTCAGATTATCGCGGGGAAAAAAACTGGTTAGCATTGCGGGCGCGGCTGGCATCGCAAGCCGTCGTTACAACAGCCTGCTGTCACTGCGCGTGTTCCACTTGCGAAAAGACAGCACGTTGTCATACGCCGCTGCGGTGCCTTCTCTCGGTAACACTGCGTCGCTCCGCTACAAATGTGATCCCATTTACTACCTTTTCTGGAATTGGGCTCACAAGACTAGCCTGCATATGACGCTCCTTTACTAGGCGGCACTGCCGATGACATAAACCGAGTGGCTGACTTCTCAGTTCACACTGTTGCCGCCTGTTTTTACTACAACACAATGGCACTGACGGCCGATTCAGCATTCGCTTCCGTGTCGCTACCAACGGCTCTGAGTGCGGTGCAGCTGGGCCAAACTCCCACTGTTCCAGCTCAGTTCCTTGCTATGGCAATGACAGGTGGTCCTCAGCACGTAGCCTGCTTCTGCATCGCGTGCTGTACCGGACAGTGTTGATTCTACTGGCCCAGTTCGATGATCGCTGCTACATTCCGGCTCTCAGCTGCCGCAAACAGTCCGCTGATCCGTGCAGCCGCTCTGCCCGCCCTCTGCCGCCGCGCCTCGGTCCTGGACCATTACTCCAGAGGTCGGGTCCGGCTCCGGACCGTCGGCTTCTCGCCGGCCCGGGCTAGAGAACTGCTGAGATCGCCGATTACAAATAACTATCACTACAGCGCCCCATGATGCTTCGATTTCACTGCGGTAGAATGCGCGGTTGGAGGAAGATTATTCTACCGGCGGAGCAAGAGTCGAAATGGGACGTACAATCAGGACATGCCACCAGACTGCGGATTGAAAGGAGTGGATTTCCGAGTCGTTGTTACGTTGGCGTCGCTTACCACCGTGCCAGTGAAGAGGGTCCTGTTTCGAAGCCGGAGTGGTGTTCTTCATTCATGCAGGCGAGCGGCTCCTTCCAAAACGGCGGACCGAGGCTCGATGCCTTTTCGTGCGCAGTTCTCCAAGCATTGCTCCTGGTTCGACTAAATAAGCACAGGAAGTTAGACTAAACCTACTTGGATCTGTTCATCTTTGTAGGTTCCTTGCGGTAATGTTGCTCAAGACGCTTAAAATGCTGACTTGTTTTTATAGGAAACACGATATTTGTATTACGAAGTGGACCGACTTTTGCGTCCTATTAACTTTTTCCGGGAGAGATGACAATTCTGAAGTTTTTAAAGCATTGGAACGAACCGTTATTAAGTGAGTTCAGATAATGAGGCTCTTCTTGGGACCTGGGACCGAAAACCATGACACCGCATTCATCCGCTGGTATATTTGACGGGGAAGGTGAGGCTCGTGTTTCTCGGAAGCAGTTTCTCCTTGTGGAATGCCGTCCAAAGCTGGGCACTGCCACTTCTCCGGAACATCCGCACGGCTGGGAAGGCTATATGTGCCCCGTGGATACAGTCTCTCACGCACGGCAACCAGCTAGGGCTGCATGGTGACTCAAGACTGAAACGCGAAGTAGAAACTCAGAGCCCCTCGCGCCTTCACAGTCTGGGCACCTCTACCAAACTCAGAGCCCCTCGCTCCTTCACAGTCTGGGCACCTCTCCCAAACTCAGGGCCCCTCGCTCCTTCACAGTCTGGGCACCTCTCCCAAACTCAGAGCCCCTCGCTCCTTCACGGTCTGGGCACCTCTACCAAACTCAGAGCCCCTCGCTCCTTCACAGTCTGGGCACCTCTCCCAAATGCGTTTACACATATCACCTAATTGTCGTGCCTCTAAACCGCATCCCTGGCCAAATTTAGGGGGTTAGCGAAGTCACTGCCACAGCTACCACACTGTAAACCCGTGTGAGCAGTTCTATAACATGCAGCTAACGAGGTACGTAATATCAGGCTGTACCTCTGTGAGTACCGGTACCACCGCCGGGTCACGCGCTACCTGGCAGTCTCCGCTCCCCGCACCGCGTCCAGCAAACCGGCCGGCACGCTCGCGTGCTGGGGGAGGTTACGCGGTGTTCGGCGGCCCCGGAGCCGGTCCGGGGCAGACGACCAGATTCCAGCGGTTCGAACGCGGACCAGATTCGGCTGATTGACGCGGCTCGTGATGAGGCGGATGGCCAGACATCAGCCACGGTCGGGCGGATGTAACGGCGTAGGGAAATGCCTTACCTGGACGTAGGAATAAGACGCTGCCGCTGGTGATGAAGGGACGCTGCACTGAACGATGTTTGCCGATTGTAAATGGCAAGTTTTGGCATACTAGGCAGATATGGCGAAAGCTTTGAATGGTTCAGCTGAGAAAAAATGACGCCCATTATTCAATGATATAGCTATAGACAGGACTGACTTAAATCACTCAGCTTGACTACGATAGGCCAGTTTCATCTGCCGAACCTGTTCTGGGCTGATAATGGCCCCGTGAAATAACGAGAAGTGTCGGGTTTCCCGATTGATACAATACATGGTTGCTGTCCGACCGCACTGGACACCCCAATAATCTTTGGAAACCACAGTAAAAAGACTAGATCACAAAGCCAGACTGAGGATTTCCGCGCTGTCGTTTAGCCGCTATAATGGGGAGGGAAGAGGAGACCCCCTCCCTCTCTCTCCCCGCTGGTGACGTAGGGCGCGGAGATCCCTCTGTAGGCAGGTGGCAACGGTGCGGTCCAGGCGACCCGACCGGAATGCCACCTTTAAACATTCGTGGAAGTTACAGTGTAGACCAGCGCATTAAGATTACACGGGCCGGTGTTGGACATTCTATAATGGAAGGCCACACTTTGCTTGGATTAAAGTGTGATTAGGACACGCGTAGGAGAGATGTCAAATGAGCAGCGTAGTGTTAACCCCGCTCACTAAATTCACACGCAAAATAGGCTTTCCGAAGGATTTGTGTCGGTGCCGAACGTGTCTTTGCGCCCACTTGTTCCTGGATAATTTGATGGCTCACTAGCCTAGTTTTGCTTTTGCCATCATCTGCTTAACATTTGACAGCTCTCGCATGCTTCATCTCTTCGCTCATAACACGCTGTGCAAAGCGCCGCACTGGTCTTGTGGAATTCATTGTACTTGAATCCTGCTGCCCGGTCTTAGAATAATGACGTGCACTACCATTTTT